AAAGAAATGCAAGGCTTTATCAGAGACTTTTTATAACTAAACCAAGATAAACGACAGGCTGTGGTCTCCAACGGTAACAAATGAGTCATAGTAGGCAGAACAAGCAAGGAAGTGGGCAGAGCCAAACACGAGCTAGCGAGATCCTATTCACGCGTTCTAGCATACATCTGCATATTTCCGTTAGGGAACACCTCCTCTGTGAAGTGCGCGTGTGCAATAACAAAATTTGCCTTTGCACTCCTAAACAACGCAATTTTTAAAAACTTTTGCAAAGGGTAAAGTCTACAAAACTTGGTCCAATCTGTTCATAACAGATTCCAGTTTTGGGAACAGAAAACTGTATTGTGATCAAATGTTTCATCGATGAGAAAATTTGCAGAATGTCGGCCAAAATCCATCTCGTTCCATCTTCTCCCACTGCTGGCCAGTGGGCTTTCTCTCACTACCATATTTGAGTGGAAACGCCAAGCAGATGCTTCACATTTATACATCCGGTGAAATAGCTCTCATTGTTCTATCTGTGGCTTTACCTATTGCTGGGTTTTTTTACAAAAATGTTTGGTGATCGACTAGGAATGCCTTGGAGATAGACCAGTCGATCATGATCGACGAGTTGGTGACCACTGAACTAGACCATGTCAGCTAAAGTTTTTTAGCCCATTGATTTTGTTGTAATGTTTGATGTTCCCTAATGCTGGAAGGGGGGGCTGTTTCTGTATGATATGTTGGATTAAGGAATAAAGACAGACACCAATGTTCAGTTCAATAGCCTTGTTCAGCCTTGTACAAATCCCTACGCGTGGAGTCTGGGGAACAGTCCAACTAGTCGATTACCTATCAACTAGACTCCGTAACAGGGGGCCTGAGTGAAACAGTTTGGGAACCCCTGACTTACACCATAGTGCCTACTGTATGTGAACACTATGGGAAAATAATTGCCTAAAGATTTTCTGAACTTTCCAATAACTTTGAAGCCTTTAATTTAACCTGAAAGATTGTAACTATGGTTAATAAAAGCGTTATTTTATTCTAAATAAATTGTGATTTTGAACAAGATAAGTGGTTGGTAAACTATTCAACATCATGTTTGGTTGCACCGACAGTATTGTTTTCTAGCATTCATTTACATTTCCGTGCAGCCGGTCCTAGCAGAGAGAACGAGGCAAAGCCTTTGATCATTATATACCACCATCTTTGGTTTGGTGCTAGTTACATTTTCCACATGTGGCCGCTTAGAGAAAATGTTTGGGACCCGTATAGAATTGCCTAAAGAAATGTGTATCTTTTTCATGATAACTGAATTTTGAATAGCCCATTTAGGTGACACTCTTCAAACGATGGCGAAATATTCCTAAATATCTTGCCTTATTGCCTAGCTTTAGCCCATCTTCGTAAGAGTACCACACTGCAGTCAAATGAAAACAGCTTATAGTTCTTACATGTCTTCAAATGGATCCAGCCCCTGCTGATAGTAGTCGTCTGGGTAATTTGTCGATGCATACGATCTGCTGTCGCTTGTATCAAGTTCCATTGAGTAAATGGGTATTAGAATATGGATATATGAGAAAGTATCACTCTGCAAATGATGATTGTTTTGCCCTACAACACCGTCGTTGCACGCTAGTTTCTCTTCCTCACGTTTTGTTTACTAGATGCAGCTGAGAGCTAGTCGAGCGTGTTGATTGGACACCTGAGTCGGTTCATGTTCACGAGGGTCAGCATTGAGCACAGTGATGCACTGCGCAGAATTGGATCTAAAATAAATTAACATTTCAATTAAATATATCTACATAGAAAAGTTAAATCTCACTTGAGCCAAATGGCTATTTTGAGAGGAAACCAACATATTTCAATGCAAATGTCAATTGGCCTTCAAAATGGTGTTCCAAATCATTTTAAAAGGGAAAGAGACAGGTCTTGTTTACTTTAGGGCAAGCGGTAGCTAATAATGGACTAGTTACATAGCCATGTTATTCTTTCTCTTACCTTTATAAAACCTTAAACCGTTTAATAATGGTGTCCTTTCGTTTTTCAGCAATAAAAACATGAATTAGCAGGAGCCCATGATTAGTTTAAAACAAACGGCTGTGATTCTCCTTCACTCAGAAGTGTGCACTTACTCACTCCCTGACAAATCTGTCCCAAGTCAAATCTGTCCAAATGGTCCCATTACATTATTGATGTCACACTCGTATTAGGTTATAATGGCAGCATATTGTGGTAGAAAAGGAATGTGGGTTTAGACATTTACTGTACACAGTGGTGGAAAATGTACCCAATTGTCATACTTGAGTAAAAGTAAAGATACCTTAATAGAAAATAACTCACCCAGGAAAATACTACTTGAGTAAAAGTCTAAAAGTATTTGGTTTTAAATATATACTTAAGTATCAAAAGTAAATGTAATTGCTAAAATATATTTAAATATCAAAAGTAAAAGCATAAATAATTTCAAAATTCCTTTTATTAAGCAAACCAGAAGGCATGATTTGTGTATCACATTTTTGGGGGGATAGCCAGGGGCACACTCCAACACTTTAACAAAGCATTTGTGTTTAGTGAGTCCACCAGATCAGAGGAAGTAGGGATGACCAGGGATGTTCTCTTGATAATTGCTTGAATGGAACCATTTTCCTGTCCTGCTAATCATTCAAAATGTAATGAGTACTTTTGGGTGTCACAGACACTGTATGGAGTAAAAAGTACATTATTTTCTTTAGGAATGTAATGGAGTAAAAGTAAAAGTTGTCAAAATAGTAAAGTACAGATACCCCAAAAAAAACGACTTAAGTACTTTTCACCGCTGACTGTACAAAGCAACCACAACCCCATCCAACAAATTTTAAAAGGCCAACTAAATAAAATCCAAGGCATACACTTGGTTTAGCTTTTAAGGTAGACCACACACATTGCAGTAAAAACACAAAGTTGTGCCCTCCATAGCCACCCAATATTAGGGAAAACATTACTGGTACAAGATTTGAGTTTTACAAAATTCCCAGTCAAGGTGTGATAGCAGATAGAAGGCAGAAGTTTATTTCAGCCCTGTCACCTTGTTGTTCAAACTATACTGAACAAAAACAGAAATGCAACATGCAACAATTTCTAAGATTTTACTGAGTTAGTTCATATAAGGAAATCAGTCAATTGAAATAAATTCATTAGGCCCTAATCTATGGATTGTACATGACTGGGAATATAGATATGGATCTGTTGGTCAAAGATACCTTAAAAAAAGGTAGGGGTGTGGATTAGAAAACCAGTCAATATCTGGTGTGACCATCATTTGCCTCATGCAGCACGATACATCTCCTTCGCATAGAGTTGATCAGGCTGTTGATTGTGGCCTGTGGAATGTTGTCCCACTCCTCTTCAATGGCTGTGCGAAGTTGCTGGATATTGGCGGGAACTGGAACATGCTGTCGTACATGTCGATCCAAAGCATCCCAAACATGCTCAATGGGTGACATGTCTGGTGAGTATGCAGGCAATGGAAGAACTGACTGGGACATGTTCAGCTTCCAGGAATTGTCTACAGATCCTTGCGACATGAGGTGATGGCGGCAGACGAATGGCACGACAATGGGCCTCAGGATCTCGTCACGATATCTTTGTGCATTCAAATTGCCATCGATAAAATGCAATTGTGTTCATTGTCCATAGCTTATGCCTGCCCATACCATAACCTCACCACCACCATGGGGCACTCTGTTCACAACGTTGACATCAGCAAACCACTCGCCCACATGAAGCCATACACGTGGTCTGCGGTTGTGAGGCAAGTTGGACTTTCTGCCAAATTCTCTAAATGACGTTGGAGGGGGGCTTATGGTTAAAAAAAATTAACATTCAATTCTCTGGCAACTGCTCTGGTGGACATTACTGCAATCAGCATGCCAATTGCACGCTCACTCAAAACTTGAGACATCTGTGGCATTGTGTTGTGTGACAAAACGGCACATTTTAGAGTGGCCTTTTATTGTCCACAGCACAAGGTGCACCTGTGTAATAATCATGCTGTTTAATCAGCTTCTTGATTTGCCACACCTGTCAGGTGGATGGATTATCTTGGCAAATGAGAAATGCTCACCAACAGAGATGTAAATACATTTGTGCACAAAATCTGAGAGAAATAAGATTTGTGTGTGTATGGAACATTTCAGGGATATTTTATTTCAGCTCATGAAACATTTTTGTTCAGTGTAGTTTTCCTTGAGAAGGCATATGAAGTGACAATGTAGCCTGTGTTTTAAAAAATCAAGAGCAAACACCTTCACACAGCATTCAAACGTATTACTTCACATACTAAACATACGCCACTTTGTTTTGAGCTAGCTTCATTGTCAGCTTTGAGACAAAACTAGCGCTCTGTCTGTCTGCATCAGAGTCTGTAGAGGAGTTTGTCTGGATTGTGCCAATCATGAAAGCAATTATATCAGGGATGAGACAGAGTGTTACATGGCCTCATTACACATCCAGGGAGTCAGGGATGATACAGAGTGTTACATGGCCTCATTACACATCCAGGGAGTCAGGGATGAGACAGAGTGTTACATGGCCTCATTACACATCCAGGGAGTCAGGGATGAGACAGAGTGTTACATGGCCTCATTACACATCCAGGGAGTCAGGGATGAGACAGAGTGTTACATGGCACTCATTACACATCCAGGGAGTCAGGGATGAGACAGAGTGTTACATGGCACTCATTACACATCCAGGGAGTCAGGGATGAGACAGAGTGTTACATGGCCTCATTACACATCCAGGGAGTCAGGGATGAGACAGAGTGTTACATGGCCTCATTACACATCCAGGGAGTCAGGGATGAGACAGAGTGTTACATGGCCTCATTACACATCCAGGGAGTCAGGGATGAGACAGAGTGTTACATGGCCTCATTACACATCCAGGGAGTTTACAGGTAACCTCTCGTCTTCTTGCAGTTTTCGCAGTGCCTGCGTCCAAATGAGGCCATTCTGCTTATGTCGTCAGTCACCTTGATACGGATGGGTGTGTCCAATTTTCCCCCTCCTGGTGTGAATCTCAAGGGGCACCTCACAAAGCTGTGCTGTGAGTTTCTCCATTAAATCTTTGTGAGGCATAGGCTGGATCTTGTTCCCTTTGCACAGATCCTTGTGAATCAGGAAGCTGTTTGTGGTCGCTATGTCCACAAAGTTGAAGAACAAACTGCTGTACCTCTTGAATGTCTTGCGGTTGGCTGAGTAGCACGAAATCAGTTCCTCAGATAAGTCAATGCCTCCAATGTGTTTATTGTATTCTACAATCGGCGTTGGGACTGGAATGGACTCAGTGGTCCAGCTGCCATCCTTGTTTTTCAGTCTCCTTTTTGCCTCTTCCCCTCCATACACCTCATGAATGGTGGAAACAACAGACACCTCCCATGGGTCCTTCCACTTCACAAAGAGCAGGGAGCAGGGAGCCCTCCCTTATCCATATGAATGACCCTCTTGGGGATTTCTTGGTCAGTGCCTTTTGTTCATAAAGCCTCTTCGGCCGCCCCGCTTTCTGAGACAGGCTCCATATAATAGGTCCTTGAATAGTTTTGGACTGGAGAAGAAGTCGTCCAGGTATAGATGGTAACCTGATCAGAGGAAGGATGGCTTTATAAGTGACATCCCTGCAACGTAAGACTTTCCACAGCCAGAGGGGAACGTGGTCTTGCCTGTGTATACTATATAGTCAACTGTATAGCCACTGCTGGAGTCAGTCAACACAAAAAAGCTTGAAGCCCACCTTTGTGAGCTTTTCCTTAAAATGTTCATACATCCTTAGATGTCTAGTGGTGAGTACGTGGCAGAAGCATTTTATTGTACTCCCGGAGACCGGTCTGGAAAAATATTCAAAGGAGCAGAGCCTTCATCATGATCCTTCTCAGTTCTCCAAGACTTGAATGGCTGTCTTATCCTTTGTAGTGAGCGAAACCTCTTCTTTGAGGTTGACTACAGTGAGGGTAACTTTATTTTACGTAGGGAATAATGTTCTGCTGCCAATTACCTCCAATATCAGGTCTCACCTGGGAGAATACATCGTTAATCATAATGGAGAACAACAAACTACTAATGACACTACCATTATCCACCTCATAGCTTTCTGACATAGAGCTCCCCACACTCACTTGTATTGATCGCCCAAAAATAAAATATTTTATCCAGTTAAAAACCCATCCTCCAACCCCCATGATATCCAGCTTGATAAGTAGGCCTTCCTTCCACATCAAATCATAAGCCTCTACATCAAAGAAAACGTCTACCAATACCTCCTTGTTTGCCTGTTCCTTCCGTATGACTGACACAAGGCACAGTACAGGATCCATCGTTCCCCTGCCTTTCCTGAACCCACTTTGATCTGGTGACATTAGTCCTCTACTCTCCAGAAAGTAAGTCAGCTTTTCCGTTACCATCCTTTCCATAAGTTTACATACATGAGATGTCAAATTTATCTGCCTATAGCTCGAAGGACTAGTAGGGTCTTTCCCAGGTTTCCGTATTGGCACCACTACTGCCTGCTTCCAACTTCCAGGCAGTTACCCTTCCTGCCACACCTTATTGTAAAGTCCCAATACGTTCCCCATTACAGTCTCACTGAGATGAGCCATCATGATATAATACATTTTATCCTTCCCAGGAGATGCTACCCAGCTTTAGCTAATGCCCTCTTCATCTCAGCCAATGTAATAGGGGCATTAAATGCATCCCCCACCATCTCTCTCTGATCCAGGACCCCCAGATGTTCTCCTCTGACCCTCTCTCTCACACAGAGAGGGGGGGGGGGGGGGGGGGGGCTAATGCTGCATTCATAACCAAGAGGGAAGGAGGTAATTTCCTTTCCAGTTGTGAAAGAGAAAATACCAGTTGGATGCATTCACATGCTTTGAACACTAAATGATAGTGTTCAAAAAGACATATATTCTTATACTTGCCAGTGTGACCTAAAACATTATCCCAGTTTAATATAGAGCCCCACAGTGGACATGTCATAATACCCATAATCGTTTTTCCACTTAAAATAATTGTTAAACACTTAAAATAAGGGCAGTGTTTTGTGTAGGCTTACCCTGGCATGACGTTTTGATTACCGTGTAAATCTCTCTTCGACAAGGTGACTTTTAACAATATATGGGGCTCTATTTACTCTCATTTGATGATTCAAATTAGACATCATGCAAGACTACAAATCCCTGCAAATTCTGTCTGTAATAAAGCCCTTTTGTGGAGAAAACTCAATTCTGATTGGCGGCACCTATGCCCTCCCAGGCCCACCCATGTCTGCACCCCTGCCCAGTCATGTGAAATCCATAGATTAGGGCCTAATGAATTTAGATCATTCAGTCGGCAGTCGCCGGCACCGTCGGCTGCAATGTCGAACAAGCCCAAAGACATCTCAAACCCCAAACCCCAGTCTGGTCTAGCAAGTCTGGCGATGTTGGGTCTCTGGGTTTAGATACTATGTGGCGTTTGTTTTAGAACAGGGCTGCCTCCCGGGCATGAGCTGAGTGCCCATTCAAAGCCGATGGCGAAGTCGTTTCAAAACAAAGTGACGTATGTCAAGCACATTAAGTAATGATTTAGGATTCTGAGCTTTCACATGCATACGTTTTCACATGCTTAAGTGTTTGCTTAGTCTAACATATTTGATGGAAAAGACATGTATGTTGCTGAACGATGCACCACGCTGCCTTGTGACCAGGCAGCGCAGATTACTTTTAGATTTGAGAAGGGTCCTCCTCCCTCACATATTTTTCCCGGTCACATAACGGGACATAGCCCTGTGCACCCCGGTTCAGCCTAATCAATCTCCCTCATTCCCTGTCAAAGTGACACACACCTGCACCCCTATTCTCCTCAAGTCCTTTGAATGAAAGGTCTGTACATGTGACACAATACAGCAGTTGGCTCAAGCTATTGAAAAAATGGATTACCTGACCTCACAAGAGTGGTTGAGAAAGAATATGCAAGACTCACTTTTGATCTAGCCCTTAAACAACCTGCCATTACATAGGCTCATCACAGGAGGGCATCACAGTATCGCTTTCCTTATAAATTCTAAACCTAGTTGATATTATGAATATTACATAACAGTTGTATTTGATGTCATAAATGTACTCATACCAAGCATACCTTTACTTCAAAGTTATTTTATATTATGAACTTTGCAGCAGCCATGTGGTACACAACAAAGTGGGGACAGTCTGTTAGGTTTACTTTATTTACTTAATCCAGTGCAGTTGACATTTTTTCTGTTAATCTTTAAGAAAACAAAAAACATTACTACACAGTAGAAAAGAGTAACTCAACAAATAATACACAAGGTTGGTTCATCTTAGGTAAATGTGTTTCTTGTAACTCATCTTACATAATTGTATTTTTTCAAGAATGACACGGTAAAATGAAGTGAGAAAACCTGGGTTCTTTTGTGGTCGATTCTTTCACACAGCTGAAAATACATTGTTATTCATAGTAGCCTCCCCACATGTTTAAACTCCACACCATTGACCAGTAAATGTAGCTATTACATCAGTGGAAAAAGTCAGCCTATGTAATCTGACAAAGATAAATTATGATCAAACAGAAGGCAATAGTGTGAAGGTGTGTGCATACAGTCATGCAGGATTTAATAACACACTAGAATACCAGAACACAACATTGCTGAAGAAAAGCAGCACATGAGTTAATAACAAGTTATTTACAAATATGATATTCCAAAGATTCTTATCTGTAACTTTTTTCCTACTCATTCAGACTTCACAACCGCTGCCATGTCAATTTCAGGTACAGACTAATTTCTGGCCTGATATCATTATCTTGGAAAAACACAATGATTATTCATCATATCAAAAGTCAAAATTGAAGATTAGCAAAATTTTGAAATCGCTTACAAAAGGCTTTGAAATACACCAAAATTAGCAATAAGACACAGGCCTAACAGCACTCCTTATCTGTGACGGTTAGGCTATACAGTGCCTTCAAAAAGTATTAACACCCCTTGACTTGTTCCACATTTTGTTGTGTTACAGCCTGAATTTAAAATGGATTCAATTGAGATTTTGTCCCACTGGCCTACACACAATATCCCATAATGTCAAAGTGGAATTATGTTTGTAGACATAATGATATCAGGCCAGAAATTAGTCTGTACCTGAAATTGACATGGCAGCGGTTGTGAAGTCTGAATGAGTAGGAAAAAAGTTACAGATAATAATTTTTGGAATATAATATTTGTAAATAACTTGTTATTAACTCATGTGCTGCTTTTCTTCAGCAAATTAATTTAAAAAATGAAATGTTGAAATGTCTTGAGTCAATAAGTATTCAATCCCTTTGTTATGGCAAGCCTTAATATGTTCAGGAGTAAAAATGTGTTTAACAAGTTGCATAATAAGTTGCATGGACTCACTCTGTGTGCAATAATAGTGTTTAACATGGTTTTTGAATGACTACCTCATCTCTGTACCCCACACATACAATTATCTGTAAGGTCCCTCAGTCGAGCAGTGAATTTCAAACACACATTCAACCACAAAGACCAGGGAGGTTTTCCAATGCCTCGCAAAAAAAAGGCACCTATTGGTAGATTAGTAAAAATTAAAAAAAGCAGACATTGAATATCCCTTCGAGCATGGTGAAGTTATTAATTACACTTTGGATGGTGTATCAATACACCCAGGCACTACAAAGATACAGGCGTCCTTCCTAACTCAGTTGCCAGAGAGGAAGGAAACCGCTCAGGGATTTCACTTTGAGGTCAATGGTGACTTTAAAACAATTACAGAGTTTAATGGCTGTGATAGGAGAAAACTGGAGGATAAATCAACAACATTGTAGTTACTCCACAATATTAACCTAATTGACAGAGTGAAAAGAAGGAAGCATGTACAGAATAAACATATTCCAAAACATGCATCTTGTTTGCAACAAGGGACTAAAGTAATACTGCAAAAAATGTGGCAAACCAATTAACTTTTTGTCTTGAATACAAAGTGTTATGTTTGGGGCAAATCCAATACAACACATTACTGAGTACCACTCTCCATGTTTTCAAGCATAGTGGTGGCTGCATCATGTTATGGGTATGCTTCTAATCGATAAGGACAGTGGATTTTTTCAGGATAAAAGAGAAAAGGAATGGAGCTAAGCACAGCACTAGAGGAAAACCTGGTTCAGTCTACTTTCCAACAGATACTGGGAGATGAATTCCCCTTTCAGCAGGACAATAACCAAATATACACTGGAGTTGCTTACCAAGAAAATAGTGAATGTTCCTGAGTGGCCGAGTTACAGTTTTGACTTAAATCTGCTTGAAAAGCTATGCCAAGACTTGAAAATGGTAATATAGCAATGATCAACAACCAATTTGAAAGAGCTTGAAGAATTTTGAAAAGAATAATGGGCAAATATTTTACATCCAGGTGTGCAAAGCTCCTAGAGACTTACCCAGAAAGACTCACAGCTGTAAATCACTGCCAAAGGTGATTCTAAAATGTATTGCCTCAAGTGTGTGAATACTTCTGTATTTCAATAAATGTGCACCATTTTATTTTCCACTTTGTCATTATGGGGTATTGTGTGTAGACGGGTGAGAAAAAAAAAATATTTAATCAATTTTGAATTGTGGAATAAGTCAAGGGGTATGATCACTTTCTGAAGATACTGTAGCTGCACAAGCCTTACAGCTTTACTCAGAGTCAGAAGACAGATACTCAACTGGGGCCATTCCCTCAAGGTTGTGCCAATCATGAAAGCAATTTCTGTCTGGAATGACACAGAGTGCTACCCCACACTCATTGCACTTCCAGGGAGTGTCCTTGTCACTCCGACCTGATTTCTTGCAGAATTCGCAGCGCCTTCGTCCTGCAGAGCTTCTCTTGCTTTTGTCTGCCACAGACTTGATCGGGACAGGTGTGTGTCCAGTGTTCTTTGGCTTGGACTGAGTCTCAATGGAAACCTGGCAAAGCTGGGCCACAAGCATTTGCGTGAATTCTTTGTGGGTCATGGGCTGTATCTTGTTCACTTTGCACAGCTGTTAGTAGTCGCTATGTCCACAAAATGGTAGAACAAAGTGCGGTACCACTTCATTGTTTTGCGGTGGGCTGAGAAGTACGTAATCAGTTGGTCAGATAAGTCAACGCCGCCCATGTTTTTATTATATTCTAGAATTGGGGTGGGTACTGGAATTGACTCATGAGACCATTTGCCATCCTTACTCTTGCGTTTCCTTTTTATGGGCTCCCCTCCATAAGCTTGATGAATGGTGGAACCCATCGATACTTCCCGGGCATCCTTCCACTTCACAAAGAGCAGGGAGCCATCCCTTATCCATCGTAAAGATCCTCTTGGGGATTTCTTGGTCAGTGCATTTTCTTCTGATCTTGGGAAGCCCAGTCTGCCTTCCCGCATGGTACCACACGCTCCCATTTTCATGTCAAATAAGTCCTTAAATAGTTTTGGGCTGGAGAAGTAGTTGTCAAGGTACACATGGTAACCTGAGCCAAGGATAGAGGGCCTTACGAATGACATCACTGCATCGTAAGACATTCCAAAGCCAATGGGGAACACGTTCTTGCCCATATACACAGCATAGTCCACTGTATAGCCATTGCTGGAGTCAGCTAACACAAAAATCTTAAAGCCATATTTAGTGGGCTTTGACTTGATATATTCAATCAACCCATTTATTGCTTTTGATGCCACCATCCGTTCATCTACAGCCAGGTTTCTATGTGGGTGGAAACAGGACATGCAGGCATGACGAATGTCATTCATTAATGGTTTGAGTCGGAATAGCCGGTCATATTCAGGTGTGCCCTTTTTACGGTCATTGACAGCATCCTCATCAGGGTCACTCATGTGGATGTTCCATGATATGATTCTGTATCTATCCCTGTTCATCACAGTAGCTGGAAACGGAATCGAGAAGATGGAGTTTGTTATCCAGTAATCGCTGATAGTTCTCGTCTTAATCAGCGCAGTAAAGAGGACCAATCCAATGAATTTGTAAAGCTCCTTCATAGTTATATCTATCCACTTAAACTTTTTGCCTCTACAAATGTTTCTAGCCGCTTGTCTATTTGTATTGTCACAAAGGGTTCTGACCGTGGCTTTGGTGAAAAACTTTTGAAATAGATCTAACGGTGAGTACATGGCTGAGGGATCTTTTTGAGGTCCAGGAGTTCTACTTGGAAAAAATCTCAAAGGTTTAGGACCCTCATCAGTGTCTTCCTCGGTTTTCCATGGCTGATCTGACTAGGTTGTTCTGTGTGGTAAGCGAGAGGTTTTCCTTGCGGTTGAGAGCCGTGGTACTTTGGACTTTAGTGAGGGTGAAGCCAGCACTCTTTTACGTGGGGAATGGGTTTTTGTTGACAACTTCGCTGACGGGCTACGCTGTTGGTCTGGATGTAAGGTGATCGGCAGTGGGGCTACATCTTGGTCAGTTTCAACACTATGAAGATAAACATGAGTAATTATCAATTCAGGAAAAAATTAAAAATTAAAAATGAACACTTCAATTGAGCCATCGGTATTGGACTTCAGTTCACTTTAAAATGTGAAGGTTAAAAAGACAAGAACTAGCTACAGTGCCCATAAAAAGTATACACCCCCTTGAACTTTTTGCACATTTTCTGTCAGTGCCTCAGTTTCATGCATTTAAAACAATATTTTTCACTTAACTACACACGATACTCCACACTTTTAAGGGGAATTTCTTTTTTGTGAAAATATATACAGTGGGGAGAACAAGTATTTGATACACTGCAGATTTTGCAGGTTTTCCTACTTACAAAGCATGTAGAGGTCTGTAATTTTTTATCATAGGTACACTTCAACTGTGAGAGACGGAATCTAAAACAAAAATCCAGAAAATCACATCGTATGATTTTTAAGTAATTAATTTGCATTTTATTGCATGACATAAGTATTTGATACATCAGAAAAGCAGAACTTAATATTTGGTAAAGAAACCTTTGTTTGCAATTACAGAGATCATACGTTTCCTGTAGGTCTTGACCAGGTTTGCACACACTGCAGCAGGGATTTTGGCCCACTCCTCCATACAGACCTTCTCCAGATCCTTCAGGTTTCGGGGCTGTCGCTGGGCAATACGGACTTTCAGCTCCCTCCAAAGCTTTTCTATTGGGTTCAGGTCTGGAGACTGGCTAGGCCACTCTAGGACCTTGAGATGCTTCTTACGGAGCCACTCCTTAGTTGCCCTGGCTGTGTGTTTCGGGTCGTTGTCATGCTGGAAGACCCAGCCACGACCCATCTTCAATGCTCTTACTGAGGGAAGGAGGTTGATGGCCAAGATCTCGCGATACATGGCCCCATCCATCCTCCCCTCAATACGGTGCAGTCGTCCTGTCCCCTTTGCAGAAAAGCATCCCCAAAGAATGATGTTTCCACCTCCATGCTTCACGGTTGGGATGGTGTTCTTGGGGTTGTTCTCATCCTTCTTCTTCCTCCAAACACGGCGAGTGGAGTTTAGACCAAAAAGCTCTATTTTTGTCTCATCAGACCACATGACCTTCTCCCATTCCTCCTCTGGATCATCCAGATGGTCATTGGCAAACTTCAGACGGGCCTGGACATGCGCTGGCTTGAGCAGGGGGACCTTGCGTGCGCTGCAGGATTTTAATCCATGACGGCGTAGTGTGTTACTAATGGTTTTCTTAGAGACTGTGGTCCCAGCTCTCTTCAGGTCATTGACCAGGTCCTGCCGTATAGTTCTGGGCTGATCCCTCACCTTCCTCATGATCATTGATGCCCCACGAGGTGAGATCTTGCATGGAGCCCCAGACCAAGGGTGATTGACCGTCATCTTGAACTTCTTCAATTTTCTAATAATTGTGCCAACAGTTGTTGCCTTCTCACCAAGCTGCTTGCCTATTGTCCTGTAGCCCATCCCAGCCTTGTGCAGGTCTACAATTGTATCCCTGATGTCCTTACACAGCTCTCTGGTCTTGGCCATTGTGGAGAGGTTGGAGTCTGTTTGATTGAGTGTGTGGACAGGTGTCTTTTATACAGGTAACGAGTTCAAACAGGTGCAGTTAATACAGGTAATGAGTGGAGAACAGCAGGGCTTCTTAAAGAAAAACTAACAGGTCTGTGAGAGCCGGAATTCTTACTGGTTGGTAGGTGATCAAATACTTATGTCATGCAATAAAATGCAAATTAATTACTTAAAAATCATACAATGTGATTTTCTAGATTTTTGTTTTAGATTCCGTCTCTCACATTTGAAGTGTACCTATGATACAAATTACAGACCTCTACATGCTTTGTAAGTAGGAAAACCTGCAAAATTGGCAGTGTATCAAATACTTGTTCTCCCCACTGTATATATAGAAAATACAAAACTGAAATATCATCATTGGATAAGTCACCAAGTGAGTTAATACTTGGTGGAAGCACCATTGGCAGCAATTATAGCTGTGAGTCTGTTGGGATAGGTCTCTACCAACTTAGCACACCTAGATTTGGCAATATTTGACACATTTTCTTTACAGAAAACTGTTCAAGCTGTCAAGTTCCTTGGGGACAGCAATCTTCAAGTCATGACTAATTTTAATTGGATTTAGGTCGGGGCTCTGACTGGGCCACTCAAGGACATTTACCTTTTTATTCCTTAGCCACTCCCCAGTAGCTTTGGCTGTGTGCTTCGGGTCGTTGTCATGCTGAAAGGTGAACTGCCAATACCATGCTTCAAAGTAGGGATGGTATTATTTGGGTGGTGTGCAGTGTTGGGTTTGCGCCAAACGTAACTCTGTGCATTTAGGTCAAAAAGTTCAATTTTAGTTTTGTCAGACAACAACACTTTTTGCCACATGGCTACAGAATCTCCAGTGTTTTTTTGCATATTTCAAACTGGATTCAAGGTGGGCTTTCTTGAGTAATGGCTCCCTTCTTGCCACCCTACATGCCATATTTGGGGACTGCTTGGGATATTGTTGTTGGCCACAAAAGCCTGTAGCACTTCCAAAGTTGCCATTGGACTCTTGATAGCCTCTCTGATCAGTCTCCTACTTGCTCGGTCATCCAGTTTGGAGGGATGATCTAGGCAGGGTCTTGGTGGTGTCATACACCTTCCATTTATTAATAGTAATCTTGACCATGCTCCAAGGGATATTCAAGGCCTTTTAAATATTTTTATATCCATCTGTGCATTTCCACAACTTTGTCCCGGAGTTCTTTTGAAAGCTCCTTGGTGCTCACATGGTTGGCGTTTACTTTGCAATTCACTACCCAGCAGAAGGAACACACAGGAACTTCTGAATTTCTCCTGAAATCATGTGAATCACTACAATTTAACACAGGTGTAGGCCAATTAATTTGGTGTGTGATTTTGATGGTGATTAGTTACACCCAAAATAATTTTGGATTGCTAATACAAGGGGGTGGACACTTATCCAACCAAGCTATTTCAGTCTTTATTTGTATTTATTTTTCAATGATTGATTTTCACACACAAAAAAAATCTGAATATTTTTTTCCACTTGGAAGTTGTGGGGTAGGTTGTGTAGATCAATGGGGAAAAACAAGAATGTTTTTTAATTCCAGGCTATAAGGCAAAGGTGAAGATTTTGAAAGGGTGTGTAGACTTTTTATTGGCTCTGTAAGACATCTAGGGCTGAATATGGACTCAGATCTGTCAGGCTGCGTTTACACAGACAGGACAGTTCAGATTATTTCGACCAATCAGATCAGGGCCTGTATCCACAAAGTGTCTCAGAGTAGAACATTGGTCATAAGCGCTGAGAATAGACATTTTACTCATACACTTATAGGTAAAAATAAAAGCTATGCATGGAGCCTCTTTAGTCATGAGTCACACCTAGTCGACAGATATTTAGGATACCTCATGAGCTGTGCTAAGCAGTTAAGAGTTACCAGCAGGTGTCTTGATAATAGAAAAATGCAGCGAGTCAGTGGTTCTGACGTCACATGCAATTGCTTTGGAGTTGTTGGAAGAATGTTTTGATATGTCTATGTAACAGTGTTGCTTCCGTCCCTCTCCTCGCCCCTACCTGGGCTTGAACCAGGGACCCTCTGCACACATCGACAACAGTCACCCTCAAAGCACCGTTACCCATATGATCAATCCAGAACTAATCTAGACCTACATGCAACAGTAGCTTCTGTTGCCCAGGAATGATATCAAACTGCTTAGCACAGCTCATGAGGTATCATACCATTGCAAGATTCACTTCCAGGATTCACTACCAGACGAGCTAAACCACTTCTATGCTCGCTTCGAGGCAAGCAACACTGAAGCATGCATGAGAGCACCAGCTGTTCTGGATGACTATGTGATCACGCTCTCTGTAGCCGATGTGAGTAAGACTTTTAAGCAGGTCAACATTCACAAGGCCGCAGGGCCAGACGGATTACCAGGACGTGTACTCCGAGCATGTGCTGACCAACTGGCAAGTGTCTTCACTGACATTTTCAACATGTCCCTGACTGAGTCTATAATACCAACATGTTTCAAGCAGACCACCATAGTCCCCGTGCCCAAGGACTCTAAGATAACCTGCCTAAATGACTACCGACCCGTAGCACTGACGTCTGTAGCCATGAAGTGCTTCGAAAGGCTGGTCATGGCTCACATCAACAGCATTATCCCAGAAACCCTAGACCCACTCCAATTTGCATACCGCCCCAACAGATCCACAGATGATGCAATCTCTATTGCACTCCACACTGCCCTTTCCCACCTGGACAAGAGGAACACCTACGTGAGAATGCTATTCATTGACTACAGCTCAGCATTCAACACCATAGTGCCCTCAAAGCTCATCACTAAGCTAAGGATCCTGGGACTAAACACCTCCCTCTGCAACTGGATCCTGGACTTCCTGACAGGCCGCCCCCAAGTGGTAAGGGTAGGTAACAACACATCTGCCACACTGATCCTCAACACGGGGGCCCCTCAGGGGTGCGTGCTCAGTCCCCTCCTGTACTCCCTGTTCACCCATGACTGCATGGCCAGGCACGACTCCAACACCATCATTAAGTTTGCTGACGACACAACAGTGGTAGGCCTGATCACCGACAACGATGAGACAGCCTATAGGGATCAGAGACCTGGCCGTGTGGTGCCAGGACAACAACCTCTCCCTCAACGTGACCAAGACAAAGGAGATGAT